CAGATGTTCAACCACTGAGCCACTCAGGTGCCTCTCTGTCTAGTTTTTTGTTTTGTTTTTGATTTGTTTTGTTTTTTTAGATATATCAAAATTCCACCCAATCTTTAAGACCTGACTCAGATCCCAGTCTAATTTGGTCAAGGTTCCACAACTGATACTGGGTGATCCTCTGATCCTTGGGTGTCTTGTTTGTGCCTCCACGATGAATTAACTTTTATGATCAGGACGCCTGGGTGGCTCAGCAGTTTAGCGCTGCCTTCAGCCCAGGTGTGATCCTGGAGACCCAGGATCAAGTCCCACATCAGGCTCCCTGCATGGAGCCTGCTTCTCCCTCTGCCTGTGTCTCTGCCTCTCTCTGTGTGTCTCTCAAAAATAAATAAATAAAATATTTTAAAAACCTTTTATAATGATGGGTAAGTTTTTGTTAGAATACCCAGAAAAACTCTACTTATCCTTCAAGCCTAGCCCCAAAGCTCTTTTTTTTTTTTTTATTTGAAATCACCCCTGCCCCTCCACAACCTGATCTAGGTAGTTTGTCACTCCCTCCCCGTACGCTAACATTAAAGATAGAGTGCACATAATGTGACCCTCACTAATTTATATAGTTGAGGAAGATTTTTTGGGGGGAAGGCAGGAGTGGAGGTAAACTAAGCATTTGTGAGCCTACTGAAGGCAGAGGATGTAGGATGACTTTTCCATCTTTGCTCCCCTGAAATAATATGGAACTTAGATCAGAGTTTTTATGCCTGGAAACTACTGACATTTGGGGCCAGCTGAATATTTGTTGTAGAGGGTTGTCCTGTGCATTGTGGGATATTTAGCAGTTTTCTTCTTCAGCTGTTTTTTTTTTTTCTTTTTCATTCTTGACAACCAAAACTCTCCAAACATGGCCAAATACTCCCGGTGGGATAAAACTACATCTGGATGAGAACCACTGATCTAAACCACAGTGGAAAGCAGTGTGTGTTGACTTAACGTCAGGAATTGTCCAGTTTTTTCCTCCACCTTCTTCTTCCACATCGTGTAGCACTAGAAAGGAGTTCAACGAATGTATTTAAATGAATAAGTGACTTAAATACTTTGCAAATAGCACTAAACCTTTCTTCTTAGCCATTAAAAATAGGGTTTACAGGGATGGTATCTATTCATGAGAGAGACGATGTGGTATTTTGGCCAATGAGGCAAATTCTAGAGTCAGACGGGGTAGGTTCAAATCCATGGTGCATGAGTTTATATCCCAGCTCTCAGCTTCCTAGTTCAATAACCTCGAGCAAGTCATTAAACTTTGCTGCACCTCAGTATCCTCATTATGAAATGATGATATGAATAGTGCTTATCTCAACATGACTATGTGAAGACTACATGTTAGCTATGCAAAACACTTGGAGCAATACGTGCCAAGTGTCAGTTATTATCGCGTATGTGTACGTGTGCAGGTGTCCGTGGATTAATATATCATGTCTATTACAGAACATATGAACTTATGCAATTATTTTCAGAGCACCATACAATAATAGATATAAAGAGGTTCTGATATTTCCACACCCAGTGAATTATTTTTTTGCATGCCTTGAGTGCTATGTATTACTCTTCAAAGATTTTAGCTCTTAGGAGCACGCTGAGGGTTGATGAGGGATTGGCATTTTTCATGGCCCGGAAGCTGCCTACTGAAAGCTCCTGTGGAGGTGGACTGGGGTCTGTGATTTGGGCCAACAGTTGCATCTGGTGGGCCAGTTTCACATTAAGTTTTGTGTTCACACTCTCATCTGCCACCCTCAAGGTTCTGTTTAAATATTACATCCTGGCTTTTACCTCCACTCCATGGAATTAAGTAAAAGTTCTGTGTTCAAAATTGCACCAAAGAATTAAAAAAAAAAAGAATTGAAAAGGTAGAAGAGGAGGTTCTTATTAGATAGAAGCAGAGGTTACTATTCAAATGTTTATCCATTCAATCGATAGACACTTATTGAGCACTTAGTGTGCCAAACCTGATGGAGGTTGAGCATTAGACTGGAAACAAAGCATTCAAAAATAGCTATCTTTTCAAAACTTGCAGTATGGTGGCCAGAAGAGCACTTCAGGAAAGGAGAGCTACAAGGTTAGAGGCTATTAGACAAGAACATGCTCAGTGTGTTGGGGGTAAGACCAAGAAACCAAAGTGGCTGGAGCAATGTGAGCTTAAGTAATAAGGACTGAGGGCCAGAGAAGTAAAGGCTGGGGTGTGGAGGAGGAGGGTCACAGATTGTACAGGGCCAGGAGGTCTCTATAAGAAATCTAGCTTTTTATTGCAAGGGACTTAGGAAATCATTGAAGTATTTTTAACAGACAAATGATATCATCTGAAAGCACTTTAACTGGATCATTTGGGCTGCTGGGTTCCAAATAAACTGGGGCAAGGGTGATGTGCAAGAGCAAGAGCAAAAGCATGAAGCCCAGCCAGGATTCACCTATAAAATACTAAAGTAAAATAGTACAAATGAGAAAAGTGATGTTGGCCTGTGCTGTATGGATGGTAGTGGTCAAATTTTGTTTGTATTTTGGAGGTAACGCATTGAGGTTTTGCTAACTCATGTGGCCCTTGAGAAAGGGGAACATCAAGGATGACACTAAGACTTTTGACCTGACCAACTTTTGCCCTGACTTTGGAAGAAAGTAGTAGTCTGGAGTTCAATACAGAGGACCAGATTATAACTCTCAGTTTTGGAGTTAGTAGCATATAGATGGCTTAAGCCATGGATTGAATGAGATCACCCAGAAGGGAATACGGATAGGGGAATAAATCAGATGAATTCTGGATATATTTGTAGTTAGAGTTAACAGGATTTGCTGACAATTTAAATGTAGATGTAAAAGATAAGACTCAAGGATGACTCCAAGGATTTTTGGAGAAAAAAAAATGAAGCTATTGATGGGCTGATCCTGGGGCCCTCCAATATTGAAGATAAAAAAAAAAATCAGCAAACCGAGAAGGAAGAGTTAGAAAGGAAGGAATCACACCAGAGAAGTGTGATATCTTAGAAGCCAAGTGAAGACAGTGTATCAAGGAGCAATCAATGGTCCTTGAAACCTGTGTCAAATGCTACTGGATTAATATGAAAACTGAGAAATTACAATGGGACTTCACATGACCGAGGTCATGGTCAATCATACTTAAAGTAGTATCAATGGAGAGAGATGGGAACAAAAGAATGGTTGCTAAGAGAGTGCATCTTAAAAGTTCTTATTACAAGAAAAAAGGTTTTGTAGCTTTTGTAACAGATGGTAAGTAGACTTATTGTGGTGATCATTTTGCAGTGGATTCAAATACCAAATCATTATGTGTATACCTGACAGTGATATAATGTGACATGTCAATTATACCTCAATAAAAAAAATAGGTAATGATAGGAATTGCTGTGAGAACAGAGGAAGAAAAATTATATCGAGACATTATAAGATTATAACAACTCTAAGGAGTTTTGCTATAAAGGAGAGCAATGAGACGATGGTTACAGAGAGAGGTGTGATCAGTTTTGTTAGTTTGTAGGTTGGATAAATAGTAGCGTGTGTTTATGCTAATATGAATTAGTTAACAGAGAGACAAACTTTATAGACACATAAGAAAGCAGGAGGTTGCTGAAGAAATGTCCACGGGCAGGCTTTAGAGAATGGGTTCTAGTCTGCAAGAGAAGCGCTGGCCTTTGCTAGAAACAGGGACATATCAATAGGAACAGAAGAGAAGGTAAAATATTTGGGGGGAAGGGACAGGCAGGTGGGTAGACGTCCTGAGAGCCTACAGAATTTCTTTTCTCATTAATTCTCTTCTCTTAAAAAAATAAAATAAAATAAAATATATAAAATAATAATAATAATAATTCTCTTCTCTCAATGGATCAGGAAACCAGGTCATCAGCCAAGAATACATTTGGAGAAAAGATCTAAAATAATCAAGGCAAGTGTGAGTGGATCAGGGAAATAGCGGAGGGCTGCCGGAAAGCATAGCAATCCACGTAAGGTCAATTTTCATGAGCTAAAAATGATATAAGACATCATGGCTCATGGCTTTGTTTTTTCCTTTAGTCACATTCAGTGGCCCAGGACAGGTCAGTTTAGACAGACCGTGGTTTAACCAGGACCATGGTTTAGGTAGAAAACAAGAAAAAGATTGAAGGTATATGCAGGGGAATGGTGATGATGACTCACCACGTAATTTAATCTAGTTAGGTAGGGAAATGCAGACAGAGTGGGGAGGTAAAGGTCAGTGACAGGTAACAGAATTAAGGGGCTGTGGGTGCAATGCGTCGGAAGGATTTTTTTTGGAATTTTGTGACATGAGAAAGTGAGCCGGAATATGAGAGGCCGCACCCAAAAAAGTAAGTTTGAAATTGGGATCACTGGGGGCTCTCCGTTATTGTTAAAGATGTGCTAGATCAGGTGAACCAGGTTGGGGAGGGGGTGGCTCTAGACTGGAGGACAAAACCCCTGGAGAAGATCCATCCTCACCACAAGGAAGGTAAAGCTGTTCTCAAGAGTTCAGGTCATTAGGTCTATCCTTGAAGGAGAAGGGGTTATTTCTAAGAAAGCCAGTAGGTTTCTACCAAAAGGTTCTTGATGTACTAGTCAGATTGGTAGTGTAGCCGTCAATCAAAGACCTCAGTGAGAAGCTGGGCCTGGACGCCCCCAGTACTGACTTCCTAGGGGTGCTGTGCACCAGGCCCTGCGTGTTGCCAGGAACTGGGGTGGTTGTGTTGCCCCAGGCAAGTGGCTCAACCTGTCTCTGGTCTTTGCCCACTTCCTGTCCCTGGCCCACTTCCAGGCCCTCTCTCTGGCTAGCTGGGACTCCGGGAGTGGGGTGAAGACCTGACTGGATGTGTCCTCAGTGGGGTGGGGGGCAGGAGGGGAGAGTAAGGGGAAGGGGAGATGGGGAGGTGGGGAGTGGCCAGACCAAAGGGGCAGGTGGGGCTGTTAGGAGCACAGGGAGGCGCCCTGATGCAACTGAAGGGCTTGTCTCCTGTGCCACCATGAAGTTCTTCGCCTCCTGGAGAAGGAAGGTTGAGCCCCACAGCCCACCTGCAGGCCGGGCCAGTACCCATCACCCCACCCAGCCAGGCTTCAACCTCTAAGATAAGGATTTAAAGAAACTTCACAAAGCTGCCTCAGTGGGGCATTTGGAGAAGGTGAAGGAGCACCTTCAGCTCAAGAAACATGATGTGAATGTACGGGACAGAGAATACAGGTGACCAGATGGATGAAGGCCACCGTGGAGTGGAGGCTGGCTCAGCAGGAGCGGGATTTGTCTGGGCCGCTTCATCAGCTGTCCCTCCAGGTTTCCCATAGTGGGGACAGAGGTCTGGTAACCACTGGCAGAGGGTCACACTCCCAACTTCCAGCTTGTTCTTTTAAAAAATGTTTAAAAATGATATTTGAAAAAAAAATGACATTTGAGGTCATTGATGTCCTCCCTGATTGCCTCCTCTCCTCCCACCACATTAATCTCCACCTGGCACTTCACTCTTTACCCAAACTGCCGTTGCTGTTTTTGTTTTTAATTTGCTATATATATATTGTCCCTATCCACCCAAGATGTACCATACTACTGATGTGCTAATAAGAAAAAAGTAGAGGAGACTTCCCAGGGTAGTGGTTATTAAGATGTTAAGACATTGAGACAGCAAAACAATTGACTTTTTAATGTGGATCTCCTATGATTTTTTTTTTTGCCAATTGCTGAGTATCTTCAAAAAAGCCCAATAGCAATCACTTACTGCAAAAACAAAATTAACTTTATACATTAAGAAATGAAGACGTTACGTGTTTGGCGTTAATAACAGAAAATATGTACTGTCTATGCCTACCTTAAAATCCTTTGGGGAGTTTGCAAGTCATAGGGTATGAAAAACATCATTTTTCATCATAATTGGGTAACTGGAAGCTATGGTTATAAAGAAGGTTCATGCCAGTTTGCTAATAGTTCTATGTCCTTCCCTTTGACAAAAACACAGTTATCTAAATGTATCTGACTTTTATCCTACACCGCCCCATTGACTTACTCTCCAAGGTCATGCGTAACCTCAACACCACTTCATTCAGTGGTCAATCCTCAGTCTTACCCAGTGGGCATCCCGGCCCAATATCTTACTCGCCCTGTCAGTAGTATTTGAAATACTGTCTTGTCTTTCAGGACACTTGGCGTCTTCACCTGGCATCTCCTCTGCTTCCGTGGGTACTTCTTTCCAGACTTCTTGGCTGATTTCTTTTCCTGTCTGGTAAATATTTGAGGGCTCAGAACTTGAAATGATTCTCTGTGTCTTACTCTTCACTTGCCCTGTGAAGAGAGATTATCTTTAAATGTCTATATTCCAGTGCCTTCCAACAGCTTATCTCCAGCAAGCTCTCTCCCCTGAACTCCAGACCCCTATATGTAAATACCTACACTTGAACGTGTATATCGGATAGACTACGTGCCCTGGCAGGTGTTTAATAGCAGGCTCTTAGTTGACGGTGGGGGTAAAGCGAAGGGAGGAGAAGCCCTGATTTCAAGCTACCAGTGTGATGTCATTTGGGTTGAACCGTTCCTGCAAATTTAACACTTGGCTTGTGAGAGCCACTAGCGCCATCACATCACTCTTTAGACATCTCAAACATCCCCAAACTGTGCTCCCGTTTTTCCTCCTCAGACCTACATCTCTCTCTCTCTAGAAATACCAAATTATGTCTTTCAGTTGTTAGGTCAGAAACCCTAGAGTCATTCTTGACTCCACTCTTTCTTTCATATCACCCATCTTGGGAATATTTTGGTTCCACCTCCAAAGTATCTCTAAAATCCAACTATTTCTTTTTTTTTTAAGATTTTAAAAATTTATTTCTTTGAGAGAATAAATAGAGCAGAGCACAAGCAGAGGGAGAGGCAGAGGAAGAGGGAGAAGTAGATGCCCCTCTGAGCGGGGAACTCAACAAGGGGCTCCATCCCAGGACCCCAGGATCCTGACCTAAGCCACCTGGGTGCCCCTAAAATCCAACTATTTCTTGCCAAGCTCACAAGTTACCATTCTAGTCGAAACTTCTATCATATCTTAATCAAAATTCCTGCAGTGGCCTCCTAACTAGTTTTCTGTCTTTTAACCTTTTCTGTTTATTCTAAATGCAGTAGCCAGAATGACCCTATAAAGTGTATGTGAAATGCGTCGTCGTTCCTTGCCTTAGCAACTTCCACTGGCTTTTCATTTCATTAGGGTGAAGGCCAAAGCCCTTCCAATGGCTCGTTCAGCCTTACATGACATTTATCCCCCACCCTGCTATCTCTAGGATCTTGAGACCCACTCCTTTCCCTTTCACTCATCTCTAGCTTCCCTGGCCTCCTCAGTGTTCCACAGAAATCCAGAAATGTATGAGGGCACTTGGCCCTGCTACTCCCTTTACCTGAAGTGCTTTCCCCCCAGATATCTACATGGCCCCCGCCCTCCCTTCCTTCCTGCGTGTATTTAATTATATCCCCTTATCAGCAAGGGCTTCCTTGGCTTCCCTATGTACAGTTGCGTGTTCTCTCCTTGCTGACATTTCCTACTTGGCACACTGTCTGGCATGCTTTCTGTTTTAAGCTTTTTGTTTACTTCTTCTTACTCCATAAAAGCAGATGTTTTTGTCTATTTTGTTGCTGCTGTCTCCTCATCACCTAGAATCCTGCCTAGCCATCATAAATGCTCACTAGACACTTTTTTATGAATGCGTACACAGGTATTTTTTGACTCATTATAAACTTACTTTGAAGTGAAACCAGTTCAGCATTTGATCTTAAGGGCATTTGCATGACCCTTTTAATATAGTAAAAAACAATTGTAATTAATATAACTTGTATGTGAATATCAGTAAGCACACGAAGCAAATATCTTAACAATATGATCTGGCATGTTCTTGGGTATTGCAACTTCTCAAACTAAGACTTCTCACTTTGTGTTTTGTTATATTGATGTAGAACACCTTTGCACCTGGCCTGTGCTAATGGATATTCAAATATTGTCTCTCTCGTAACTGAGCAACAGCCCAAAATAAATGTCTGCGATAGTGAAAACCGATCTCCATTGACTAAGGTGTGTTAATTTTTCCTTTTGGATTTCATAGTTTAAAACATAGTATTAAACAGTTTTAATACATCATATCCTGAGTAATGGGTTGGTTGCTCATCTGTTCTTGTTGTCTTGACAGGCAGTACAGTGTGCTAAGGAGGACTGTGCTACCATTCTTCTAGGACATGGTGCAGACCCGAATCTGGCAGATTTAGACGGCAATATTGAGCTCCATTATGCCGTCTGTGGCCAAAGTGTCTCCTTAGTTGAAAAATTGCTTGAACACAAAGCTAATCTTGAAGATCAAAATAAGGTAGTCTATTGAAAATAACATATTTTAGAGAAAGCAATGGAAGAAGGCATTTATTACAGATAATTCATATCTGATGAAACACGTGTTGTATGAAGCATGAATTTTCCAAAATGAAATTGGGGAAAAGGAGAAGAAGGATGAGATTATCAAATACTGGTAAGGTTTTCCTTTTTTAAAAGTCTTGGTCCAGGGACTCCTGGGTGGCTCAGTGGTTGAGCGTCTGCCTTCTGCTCAGGGCGTGATCCCACGTCCTGGGATCGAGTTCCCCATAGGGGTCCCCACAGGGAGCCTGCTTCTCCCTCTGCCTGTGTCCCTGCCTCTCTCTCTCTGTGTCTCTCATGAATAAATAAATAACGTCTTAAAAAAAAAAGTCTTGGTCCATTTCATTTCAGACTGTAACACTGAACCCCAAAACAATGCTATACTTAACAATGATAAGTGTTCAAAGGCCCATATCAAATGGGAAATATCGGATTTCCCTTTAAGTTGATATCAGTTAAAAACCATAAGTCTGCATTTTTTCCTGTCTTAACTTATATACTCACAGATAATGATAATAGGGTTAAATTGGAAAATCACTGTCCTAAAAGGAATCCAACTCTCCTACTGAGATGAGTTGTTGTTATTTTCTTGTTTAAGCGTCCTAACACTTAAGGTCACTGAAATTTTCTCTCTATGACAGCCCAAAATAAATGCCAACCTTGGAGGTCTAAATGCAATTGATGGTTTGTAATACTTGCATGAAGCGTGTGATGTGTGTTGCTTAAATACTCCAGGCTGCTCTTGTCTACAATTCGAGTTAGGCCTAAAGTAAAAACGTTAATTTTATTTTTGAATGACCCAACTCTAGTTTATTTTCTTAGTCTCTGAAATCATATTTTGTTATATATCAAAACTTTTTAAAAATTAGAGTGTCTTTTAGATTGAACTTAAATCTAAAAGGCATATAATATACGTACAGTATTTTAAGTAATCATTTTGAATTCTTTTTTTTCAGGATGGGTATACTCCACTGTTACTTGCCATTACTGAAAATAATGCAAAAATGGTAGAGTATCTTCTGAAAAGAGGAGCAGATGTGAATGCTTCAGATAACAATCAAAGGTATAATACACACCAAATAAGAGCATTTAACAATAGCAAGTTAAATTAAGCTATAACTATAGCTTCCTAACAAGACAATGTGTGTGTGTGTGTGTGTGTGTGTGTGTGTATTTGTAAATATATTTTGTGATATTGATAAAAGATCTGGCCATATATTTCGGCCAAACTACCTAGATTCCCAGGATGTGTTTTTCTGTAAAATCAAACAGTTGGACCAAATTGGTAGGTCATTAATAGTAATCGTATTTATAACCTTAGAATTTGAATCTTACACAGAAAATCTCTAAATCCTACTTGCTATAGTTAAATAGGGGTAGGGGACCCAGAGCCCCAGGTATGCCCCTCCCTGGTATTTTGAGACATCTTGAAAACACCAGGGTTCCAGGGAACAAGGATTGAAAACCATTGAGCGAGCAGCTTCCTAGAGACTCTTTTATTTTTAAACTCCATGATAACCTGTGATTGGTGCACCTTTTTTAGCAAATCTGCCCCACCTTTTAATCCTTGCCCTAACTCTTTCCCTGTTAGAGATTCCACATTTGAATAGTAAATTTAGAAGACTTTTTTTTAAAAAGTATAATATATGTCTAAGATCCATAAATACACATTCATGTGTCTCTCTTGCTCCAGAACAGCCCTTATGATTGCTCTAAGTGATGAACCAACAAATTTAGTCGGTCTTCTTCCTCAGCAAGAGGTGGATCTATCTTGCCAAGATATTTATGGATTCACAGCTGAGGAATATGCCTCTTTTCATGGTCTTACTGTGTAAGTGATACTGCATATCTTTTAACAATTGCATGGGATTTGATCATAAGGAAAGAACCATGAGCCTCAAAGTGCAACCACAGCTGAAATAGACACCACAGTAGGGCGAGCCGTATTATGGATTCTGATCCCATGGGTCCAGGGATCCTTGATTTCACTTGTTCATAGGGTCCAATCGATATAAGAACTGCAGGTAGGCTGAGTGTACAGATGAACTCCCGGTGGCACTGGAATTTGAAGTATTTCAGGACAGTGATTTCAGCAAATAGTGACATAGCCAATAACAAAACATCTGGGTAATAGCATTGGGCTAAAGATGATTCATCTATACAGGACTCTTTTTTTTTTAACGTATTAGTAATGTAAAAATTTTATTCAAATTTTGAATATTGTTATTGTTTTGTTAGCTGTTTTAGTCTGATAAGTTTTCAGAATTCTCAAGTATATTCTTATTAAACTAAATGGCAAAACTTTTCATGTATGAACATGCATTTCTAATTTTAATAGTCAATGAGGAAGTAAGATGCAATGAACAGAAATTTACATTACAGCTAATGAAGTCAAAACAACATAAAGGTATTTTCCTTATAATTTCATTTTAAAGTAAAAATTTAATTATACATAGGTACTTTTCTAGTTTTTTGTTTTCCTCTTCTTCCACCTACTTTATTCACATTTTAGTAATACCTTTTAATCATTAATTCCACATGAATACTATGGGGTGAGGGAGAGAAAAGAGAAAGAAGAGAGAGAAATAATTTTTATACATACATTCAGATGTTTGTTTTTAAAGTCTAAATTGAACTTTATAAACTAAAGGATTCATAATCCATTAAATATATGAACCATAGTTGAATACAATATTTTCTTTGCAATACTGGACATACGTACCTTGCTTAACCTTGGTTTAAGCAAACCATGTGTATAAAAATTTAAAGACATAAACTATTGATGAATATCTATGCTCTGAAAGGATCCTCCATTTTATAAAAAGAGTTCCTGTTCCTTTAAATTTTCTTCATCATTTAAAAAGTTTGGATACAGGGGCTCAGTTGGTTAAGCGGCCAATTCTTGATTTTAGCTCAGATCATGATCTCAGGGTCCTGAGATGGAGCCCCATGCCAGGCTCTGTGCTCAGAGGGAGTCTACTTGAAGATTCTCTCTTTCTCCCTCTCCCTCTGCCCCTCCCTCGACTCTCTCTTTCTCAAATAAATAAATTAATTTTAAAAAAAAGTTTGGGTATATGCAACTAGGAGGTACATATATATATGCTTAAAATATCCATTGGTCTAAAACAACACTGTGTATCTAAAATAACTTGTTTACATTTATAAATCTTGTGAAGCTACTTTTGGCTAGTTCGATGGGACGGAAATCTCACCATCTTCTTTCATCTCCCCCAAATGACTTTTTAGAACATTCTTTTTTGTAGTTTGCTCGATCATTAATTTGAGAAGAAATAGAATCGTGTTGACCACGGACTGTTTATCCTCTCAGTATTATTTTAATGTTTTCAATATTGAAAATTCTAAGAGCATTACATTTCTTTTTTTCAAAGAGGTAAAAGCAAAGAGAGGTAAGTAACTTCCTCACGACCAAGCAATAATACCTTTAGGATGTGGGAACTATGAACATTTAATAAAAATTGCAAATAACTCTAAGGTCAATCTAATTCTTCCTGTTCGCTTTTCTGTTTTTGTCTCTCTTTTGTGATGGGAATGAAGCTTTCTGTAATTGTGAATCTCGTGGCTTGAGTAGCTGTTGCCTGTCTACCACATCGAGCACATAGCCTCTGCTTATCAGCACCACTTGTTAGCTCTCTTCTTTGGTGAATGGGTTCTATAGCTTAGTAAAAGTGGGTTTAGTAAATAAAAATATTTATTTACCATATTTTAGTAAATAAAAATGTTTATTTCCACTTATTTAAAAAAAATAAGTGGAACTGTGTTAAATGAGAGAACTATATTTAGATATTTATTTTACATTTAGCTTTAACTTGCACATTGCCTCATTCCTCTCACTGAAATTTTGAAACCATTTGTCTATTAATAAGTGATGGGCTCTTTCAGGCATGGGGAAAAGATGTATTATTCTTTACTGGATATGTTTCAGCCCCTGAGTTAATTGTCTTCACTTTGCCAATTTGCTGTTAAACCCAACTGTTATGAGCCAAATTGTCTCCTATTCCCCCCTCCTCAAAACTATATGTTAACACTCTAACCCCCAGTACCTCAGAATTGGGATGATTGTATTTGGAGAGAGGGCTTTGAAAGAGATGTTAAATTAAAATATGCAGTAGAGTAGGTCCTAATCCAGGTTGACTAAGATTAGGACATAGAGACACCAAAGGTGCTTGTTGCCAGAGGGGCAACTTTTAGGTGAAGAGTCAGCAAAGCACTGTCATCTCCTAGCCAGGGAGAGAGCCCTGGAACAGATCCAACCCTTACGGGCCTCAGAGGAAACCAACCCTCTTGGCACCTTGATCTTGGACTTCCAGGTTCCATACCTGTGAGAAAAATAAATGTCTGTTGCTTAAGCCGTGCAGTCTGTGGTATTTTGTTACAGCAACCCTACCAAACTAATACACCAACAATAACCTAAAGCAACTTTTTCTCCCTCGCTAGCTGTTTATTTGTGATAGCAGGAAGAAAAGCACTGAGAATGGGAGTATGTGAAATGAAAATGGGGTCTGTTAGTGGAATTGGCTTGAAAGGAGGCTTGAGGTCAGCAGCCAGTGTGTGGCAAACTTAGGAAGGTATTAGCTAATGTCTAAGGTTTTGACTTGATGATTATGTGTTATGAATGTAACTATTTATAATGCTGGAACTCATATACATTTTCTCTTTTTCTCTTTATGGACAGATATCCATTAATTGCCACTTATGGAAGAGGGAAGAACGTTGAGCAGATATCTAACTCTGAAGATACAACCTCCAGCTCTACATTTGATACAGAAGAACTGCAGGGATGGTAAGAAGATACAAAACTGAACAAGTAGTTTTAATGTTTTTTATTTGTTTGCTTTTTAGGAAGGGACACAGTTTTCTCAAATAATATTTAAATTTGAAATAGAAATTTTTCTCCTATTTGAAATGCTAACTAGTCTTAAGGACTGTTCTTAAGAAAATTTGTATTTAAAATATTCTGACACTGTGTTGACTGAAAATGTAAAGAGATACTGAATGGTTAAGATAATTTTTTTAATATTTATTTTTTTATTTTTATTTTTTTATTTATTTATGATAGTCACAGAGAGAGAGAGAGAGAGAGGCAGAGACATAGGCAGAGGGAGAAGCAGGCTCCATGCACCGGGAGCCTGACGTGGGATTCGATCCCGGGTCTCCAGGATCGTGCCCTGGGCCAAAGGCAGGCGCTAAACCGCTGCGCCACCCAGGGATCCCAAGATAATTTTTATCTATAGTCTAGTTATAAAAAAATAAAATATGACTATAATAATAATGACTCATTATAAAAACAAATTTTAAAAATAAATATAAAGCTATTAGTAAATTTTTAATTTTATTCTAAAAACATTTCAGATAAGTATATTTGATGATTATTAATATAATATATACTTAATCATTATATAAAACTTAGATGCAATTTGTGAATTAAAAATACCATGCATCTATTAAAATAATTTTTGGTATTTATTTTTTTAAAAATACCATATAGTTATTTAGGTCTGTAAAACATAGCTTTTTCTTTGGGAGGGGGGATATATCTTACATTAACCTTTTTTGTTGGATGACATAAACATTTTTACAGTTATTCTCTGTGAATATACCAGCAACCACACTCCCCCCACACCCTTCAATTATAGTGTAAAAAAGAAGAGAAAGAAAACTTAAGGAAGAGAGGGAACCTGATGGCAATAGATCATATGACTGTCACAACTATTCAAACACTCTTCATCCCCTCAAATCTATCGTTATGATCCTTAGAACAGTGCTTGGTTCTATGGCCTTTAGGTAAATGAATTTAAGAGAGAATCTGCCTGAGTTTTCCTTTTTAACTTAAGCTTACACACTCAAGAAATTTTGTTTTTTGCACTCTTGTTACTCATCTTTATATGCTCCTCTCTCTATATGCTCTCATCTCTATAATGTTCATGTCCTATAAGCATAAAGAATTTCTGGGATTTATACTTCACTTCTTCAGGGAAAAAAAGCAGTAGAAACTTAAAACTACCTCTTTCATATTTTGAGTATCTCCTGAGGCTAAACAAATCAAAAATACCCCCAATCCTTTCACCCATGGCCATAAATGTTGCAGCTTCTAGAGAAATGTTTATTTTTGAATATTTTGAAGCATAATAGAAATATTAGGTCAAGAAAATTGTCAAAACACATTGCAAAAGATGGTCAATGTTAAAGGCTGTGTTTTTGTCAGATTCCAAGGGGATAATTTAATTAAACATTTTTTTAAATGACCATAAAATGTAGAAATATCAATGCTAAATTATAATTGTTTTGTAGCTGAGGCATAGAATTTAAGAAATATACTTAGACATAAAAATATTTGAACATAAATGAAGACATTACAAATATTACTTGTTTTCTAGTCCTGTAATCTCATTTCTACAAGTACTTTGCTGCTGCCTACATAGTAAGAAAAAATGAGTATTACAGAAAAGTAAAAAGGAAATAAGAAAATGTATCACTCAGAGTCTCATATCAGCCAAGCAAAACATACATTAAATTCCTGGCATGTTTTTGTAATCTTTTAAAATCTGCTTAACTTTTTTCTTTTCCTCAAAGGGAATTTACAATTTTGCATTTTTCTTTTTAAAAACATTATACAGATAGTTTTCACTGTGCTCCTTGCCATACCTTGACCACGTCTAGCATGGTCTAGCTTCAGGACTCTTCCCTGGAAGACTCTTCCTTTGGTTGTCTCCTGTCTCCCCTCATATGACACACCAGTGATGCCTTCTCTGGCTGCCCTGCCATCCTGTCCCTTATGATGCTTTATTGTCTATTCCTCCCTTCCTTGCCTTTTGAATAAG